GAAAACCAAGGTCTTCTCCACAATTGTGGAGATCATGGATTGCCCAGCAGTGTGCGTCCCTGTCCACAAAAGCTCTGAGAGCCAGATCTGAAGCCCCCTTGCCTCGATCCCTTTACACGCTCACCACACAGTAGGAATGAGTCTCTAAGCACTAGAGAAGGCTATGGTCTAAGCACCAAAGTTCCTACCTATTGAAAGCAATAACCTGATGGTGCCTTGAGAGGCTCCTTTGGACAGCTGTTATGGACACGACCATGATGGTGGTGGTGGAGAAATGTGGGAAAAGCAATTTGGAATTGCCTCCTTAAAGCTACTGGGAATTGGAGGGAATGCATGAGGTGAAAAAACTCTGAGTAAATATGTGGGTTACTTGGCTGGCAGGTGACTCACACAAGGCACTCTGCTTACTCAAGCTAAGGCTAGGCAGTGGGGCTCCAAAGAGTTCTTAGGGCCAGCTTTGTGGACCAAGAGAAAATCAAGTCTATTTTTTTCCCCCAAAGCAAAACAGCAAACTTCAGAGTACCCCTGACTCTTCAGTTAGAAAACATGCAAAAAAATAAAAAATTTAAAAATTAAAAAAAAATGCAGAAACATTTGCGGTTTAATATTTAAAAACTGAGTAACAAATATAGCCTTATAGATAGGTTTAAACCCCCCCAACAAAACCAAAACAATATTTTCCAGCCTACCCACATTTACTTAAGTCAGAGTATGAGAGAAAAAAGGAAGAGAAAGGTGGGGGTACTTGGTCTTCCTCAGCACCCTCTTGTTTTTCCTCAGTTTGATAATCTCCTACTCTCTCTGTTGGGTAGGGCAGGTCTTAGGAAACAGGGAGAAAACTCCAAGAGGGAACAGGACAGGCAACTTCTGGGTTGGGATGGGAATGGGCAAGTCTACAAAATGAAAGCAGAGAAGAGGTTGGACCAATACAGCAACGAACCAAAAAGGCTCCCACTAGATGATAAACTCTGAGGGCAGGGATGATGCCCCCAACTTTTGTTTCTGGCCTCCACAGTACCTCGCATGCTGTGGGGCACACCCAAGAGATGTTCAATACTTCTTGGCCGAGGTAAGGCAAAGCAACAGCTCATGAACTGGTGTGGTTTGCCCTGAAGACTACTGTAGTCACTGTGGCCTCTGCTGCCCATCTGCTTCTAGGAGCGACGGTGGGTTTTCCAAGTTCCAGGTGGAGAGATTCAGCCTGACCTCATTTTGGCCATTGTCACTGCCAATGCCAATAAGGACTTCTAAAAGTTGGTACAGACTCGAAGGCAGGTAGATCACTGCAGCTCCAAAGGTTTACATCATTGGTCATCTGACACAAGCCCCCTTCAAGGGCAGACAAAGAGGACACTGAAAGCTGGGAATTCTTTTTGTCCAGTATACACACATTGGCAGAGTTGTGAACCTGAAGGGACCAACATCTCAACTGGGCCCTCTACTTGCTCTGTAATGAGCCCATTTCTTACTGGAAGATTACAATAAAACCATCTCAGAATTAGAGAAAGAGAAAATGCCAACGAAGCCCAAATGAAATAAGTGAAGGTTTTTCATCTTGGTAGGTTTGTCACATTCCACTTTTTATCAAAACAACCTCAGGACAGGCACCGAAGGGCACTTATGATTCTGGCTTACTATGAGTTGTGAAAGGCAACAAACTTCTGAGAAGGATAAAAATTGAAAGTATATCAGCTCACTGACTTTCCTTGATCAAAGTAAATATACTCTGGTTACTCTCCTACATTAGAAGTTAACATCAAAAAAACAAAACCTAAAAAAAACCCAACCCAAACCCCCCAAAAACACACTGCCATCTGGTGCTGACTGGTAAAAGAGAAACCCACACAAGTTTAAATGTGCTATCCTTAATGCCATCATCTTTTTTTTTTTTTTGGCTGGGTAGGCTTCCCAAAAAAGTGGTTTCTCCCAATATTCAAATTTGTAACCATCACAAAATATGGTTGTTTTGATTCCATGAGAATGGCCCACTCCTCTTTCTGGGTTTTTAGGTACATGACTTGTGAACCTGAAACTGTTTGATAATGTACTTCTTCTGACTATAACTGGCCCAATGGTTTCAGTTTTCACTGAATGATTTTCAAAGGAACTAATGAAGGATGGGAGAAAATTTCCTGGTAGTCACATGTGACCTCCAAATAAATTATTAACTTTATTGAGAGGTCTTCTTCAGATTTTCGACCAGCACCACTGAGTCAATTTCTTCTTTAATTTGCTTTTCATAGATGTCACACTTTTTCCAATGCTGGAGGGAGGGGAAAAAAGAGATAATTACTTCTAAGTGACATCCTTTCCCTGGGCACTCATTGTCAATGTTTATTTTTGGTTTTGCGTGCATGGAAACATGTGTGCCTTTTTCCTGACCTGAGAAACTCTCATCTATTTGGAAAGTTAAGGAAACAGAATGATCTGGAATTAACATTAAGGGAGAAAAATGCATGAGATTGTTGCATATTGGTAAACATGTTGTCCTGAGGGATAAATACAATGGGAATTTTCCCAAAATGTGAGCTAAGTCTCATGCAAAAGTGGTGCCTTTTCCCTTCCACTGGTTTACTTGGTCATTAACCCTTTTTCCTGTTTCTTTTTGAAATGCAATCCCCTAGCCTCTAGAGAGGTGATTCATCCCATAGACTCATAGGCTGGAGAGCTGAAAGGGACCTCAGAAGACATCTAGTCCAACAAGTTCTTTCTAGACAGTCCTAGGATGGGAAGGGACGAATTCCCCAAGGTCACACAGGTAGTGACAGAGCCAGGATTCAAACCCAGATCCTTTGACTCTAAATCCTGTGCTCTTTTCACTGTTCAAAAAGCTAACTGAGGTAAATGGTGCTACAATAAGGCTTCTGGGTGTCCCTAATTCATTTGAGAAAATGTGGCATGAAGTAGGGCCATCTGGAGTGTTCTAGCCAAAGGACCAAAAGCAATTCCTGATAATGGAGGCACCAATACGAGGCAGTCGATAGCCTAGGGGTTCACCAACAGTGATTCTAACTTTAAGCCTCCACTATGGTCAGGTCATTTCTTACCTAGAGGGTCTCACTTTCCTTAAGTATAGATTTCCATGTGAAAAAAAAAGAAGAGATGGGAGGGAAATGAAGAAGAGAGAGTCGCAATGGCTATCTAGCTGCCTCACGTTAACCATGTACAAGACAAGCCCCAAGCTAGTTTCCCAATTGGGTGAGTGATTAGAGGGCTCTGTCCTGACACATACTGGCTGGAAAACATCACAAGAAAAAAGACAAAATTCTCACCCATCGTCTCCAGTCTAAATTACGAGTCCTTCAAAATTGTACCTTCATCAATTTCTAGTAATTAGAATCCACATTCACCTGTGCTTGCTTGGGATACACTAAGTCATTTGGAATGTTCCCAAATTACAGTATTAATCAAATTTCCTCCTTCACCTCCCAACTAGATGGAAGGTTTAGTCAGGTCCTATGTCAAATTCTACCCAGGCAGCCCAATAGCTGCTGGCAGGATGACTTCCACACTGAGTGTGTCTTTGTAGAACATAACTCTGCATGGCTTTGGATTCTTTTCAAACTGAGAACGACTGGCAAACTCAACCTTAAAATTATACACAGAAATCAAGAATGAAGCGGGGAGGCTGCCAACCCACAACCTAATCCTTCTAGAAGCTGCTGTTCAGTCACTTCGAGATCCCATCTGGGGTTTTCTTAGCAAAGATGCTGGAGTGGTTTGCCATTTTCTTCTCCAGCTCATTTTACAGATGAGGAAACTGAGGCAAACAAGGTTAAGTGACTTGCCCTGGGTCACGCAGCCAGGACGGATCTGAGGCTGGATTTGAACTCAGGTCTTCCAGACTCCAAGTCCAGCACCCTATCTACTGCAGCTCCACCTAGCTGCCCCTAGAAGCTACCATACAGCATTTAGAGCAGGGCTTCTTGACTTTGTCCTTTTGGGGTCTACTCAAGCCCTCTGGCTGTCACCTGAGGAAGCCCTCTGGGCCTCTTCTCAGAACAATGGTTTTAAACGCTAAGCTAAAAAGCAGAGGATTACAAAGGAAACAAAATCTACTGAAATAGTGATTAAATATTTAAAAACAAACGAACAAAAAAACCAAGGTCCCAGAGTCCAGGTTAAGAACCCTGATTTAGATAAAGAGCAACAGAGTAATGCAGCAGATAGCTAAAATACCCCACAGGACTGAAAAGCATCCCTGGGTGAGCCTTACTAGCGTGGGTTTTAGTAAGGTATAATGCTGGCTTTCAGTACAGGACCATTACACTGTGGTGTTATAAACATGGTAACGAAGGCAGCGTGCTGAAATACCCAGCTTCAGTTTATGATGGCCCTGAAGGTCAGAACTCTCACTAGGGAGGACATTCTCTTGCTGTGAATTTCCTGCTCAAGTCAATCTGGCTTTTGTGTGCTGAAGGCTTAGCCATAGAAGCTGGCATACTGTTTGCACACTGAAGCAAATCACTGCACGTGAAGCAGCGGCATGGCATCTTCCTGTCTTTAAAAATTGAGCAACCATCCGAAGGTCATTCGTTATTTGTAACCCCAGAAAAGGCCATTTTCAAAACTGGGAGTCTTGAACTGGCACAAATGGATATCAGGGAGCAGGGGTAGATAGACAGATTGATTTTTAAATCAGGAAGTATCAATTACAACGAAAAGGAGAAAATCTCCTTAACACAGACGGCAGCCCACTTAGTCACAAAGGAGCAAAGAGCAGAGAGAAATTCAGTTGGACAATTTTTGAACAAAACACATTCAGACAATGGCAGCTTTAGAGACACACATGGTATAGACTGACCATGCCCAAAGCAGTTAAAGAAAATTGCTGTTGGCAGCATGCTATGCCAGAGAGAACTGTGGGCCAGGAGTCCACAAATCAGGAAGTCTGGTCCAACCTACCTGGAGTGCTTCACTTCCCAAGGCTGCCTGGGATTTTAGATTCAAAATAATAATAATAAAAAAAACATTTCTAACTTCAAACCGTCAATGCTTACCAGGGTGTCATCATTCTGGTCTGAAAACATCTCTTTAAAAATCTTCCCAGGATCAGGAATTGGAGGAAAAATAATGATTTTCAGTCTTAAAGGAAAAAAAAAAGACAGAAATGTGTTTTCAGTGAAGAGTTCTAATAAAAGACTATTGTTGTTCAGTTGTTTCAGTCGTGTCCAACACTTCGTGACCCCATTTAGGGTTTTCTTGGCAAAGATACTGCCATTTCCTTCTCCAGGTCATCTTACAGATGAGGAAACTGAGGCAAACAGGGTGAAGTGACTCACCCAGGGCCACACAGCTAGTAAGTGTCTGAGGCCGGAATTGAACTCAGGAAGATGATGAATCTTCCGGACTGCAGGCCTGGCACTCTATCCACCCCAGAAGCACCTAGCTGCCCATAATAAAAGGCCACTTAGCTTAAATAGAGTTGCCTCTGAAGATGTGGCTCTCTAAAATGGCTCTCTAGAAATGAAGTTGATTGGTATATTTACTTGAAGTAAGCTGTGGGAAATGAATGTCCTAAGAGTTTCCAGTTCTGCACGTGTGTGGGGAGGGGTTGGGTGGCCCCAAAAGAGCAGACATGAACACATCTCCAAGGGCTGATCTCTACCTTGCCTTAAAGGGATTCGTCAGGTCTGATATACCAGGCAGGGGACTGCTGACTGAAATGACTTGAAAAAGATTGCTCTGGAAAAGAAGGACATTCCTCCTTAATCTCTCATTTCCTTTTCCTATTTCTTACCACTCCATTTCTAAATCACAATGCTATTTTAAATTAGGATAAAATTTTAGTTCTATACAAGATCAACAATCCTATGTCATTCTTAAATATTTGTTACTAGAGCCATTGTTGGCATTGGGCCTGGCCTAATGGTCAGAAAGGGATTAGCCCAGTCCAACAGCACAACCTGATGCTGTGAGTTGTGACCTTGGCATGGATGGGCCCTGTGTGAGAATCTGGCCACTTAGGCAGGCCTCTCTCTGGTTTTCTCCCTGGACAATGGGCAGGTATCTAGTCATGGCAACTCTTTTACCTCTTTAAATACAGCAGCAGGAGAAGAGTGGAGATGGAGATGGCGACTGGGATGGAGAGTAACGTGATGGTATAAAACGTGGGGTCAGGCTTCTGGCCTGGAAAATAAAATGTACACAGAAGGCCACGAGTCAGAGTAAAAACATTTTGGAAGCAAACTGCTGTGTGGGCCTGGCCCCTCAGATAGGTAGGCAGGCAGGCAGGCAGGCAGGTTGGCAGGTGGGAAGGTGGGCAGGCAGGAGGGCAGAAGGCAAGGAGGCTGACCCTCTGGGATGTACTTCCCAGCCATGGGTTAAGTCACCTCAACTTTTCTGGGCCTGTTTACTCATTTCTCAAAGACAGTTCTTTTCCATTTTTCACAAGGTTGTATTTAGCCTCAAATGGGAAGATCTGTGACAGTGTTATGTGCATGAGAAAGTGCTATCTTCTTCTTCTCTCCCATCATCAGAGGTAGGTAACTAACTGTATCTGATGAACAGTCACTGCTGTCTAGCAGAGAACCCAAGAAACCAAAGGCAGAAAAAACATGTTTTGGGTTTTGTTTCTTTTATAAGAGGATTCCATCACATAGTAAGTTTGCCCAGATCCATTTTCTCTTGGGTGAGAACAGGGGTATATACTTTTAAGAGGCCTGAGCATAAAGGACTACACAGGCCCAGGTAGGGACAGCCATGGGGCAGTGTGAGGGCTCTAAGTGGCCTGTAGGGAGGACAGTAAGACATCCATCCAGGAGGCTAGCCTTTATACTGATTCAGTCAACTCACCAATATGTATTAAGCACCTACTATGTGCAGAGCGCTATACTGGAAGCTGGGGAAGACCTGGTTCTTACCCTTATAGAGTCTATAGTTGTCTTCTTATTTATTTATTTATTTTGGCGAGGCAATCAGGGTTCAGTGACTCACCCAGGGTCATACAGCTAGTAAGTGTCAAGTGTCTGAGGCCTGATTTGAACTCAGGTCCTCCTGACTCCAGGGCTGATGCTCTATCTGCTGCACCACCCAGTTGCCCCTTGAGTCTATAGTCTTCTAGGGAGCTAAGCCACAAATACAGTACAGATAACGAAGAGCTATACTGTGAGGCAGGAAGTCAGTACTGACTGAGATAGGGGGAGAAGTGGGGATCGATCAACAATGCTTACTAAGTACCCACTATGGGCCAGGTCTTGAGGATACAAAGACAAAAGTAAAACAATTCCTGCCCTCTGGGAGTGTATATTCTAATGGAGGAGACAACATGTACATAAATAGGTACACACACACACACACACACACACACACGACACAAAAATCAGATTCAAAGTGTGTGTGGGGGAATAGATGGAAGGAGGGCCCTGGGCCCTGCTGCCAGCTGGAGGAATAGACCGGGAAAGGCCTCCTGCAGAAAGAAACTAGAGATTCCATGAGGTTAAGGTGAAGAAGGAGTGCATTCCAGGCATGAGGCACAGCCAGTGTAAAGGCTAAGAGATGATAGATGGATGGTTTTGTGTGAGGAATGGCAAAAAGGCCAGTGTGGTGGGACTGGGGAGTATGTGGAATGAAGTGATACGTAACAAGGCTGGACGGCTAGGAAGGCATCAGAAAGGCATCAGATAGTGAAGCACTTCAAGTGCCAAAGAGAGAAAGTGCATTAGAAAAGTCCCGTTGGCAGCAGTGTGGACAAACTGGAGCCAGTAGAGACTTGAGGTGGTGGCCAAGAGGGGATGAGGGCCTGCACGAAGGCTGTGGTTGTGTGCATCTTGTGAGGGGCAGTCTCTTTATTTCTACCACTGTCTTACCTATGCTTTTCTCTGGACTCCAAGCACTCCAGAGGTTTTTATCTTCGAAGCAATACTTACTGGCTTTGGCTCTCACTCTGACCGTGTACAGAGTATCACGGTCCACATCACTGATCACGAAACAATTTTTATCCTAAAACATAAAATCAAAGCAGGCCAAGTAATAGAGAAAGGCACCATTCGACTTTGTTGCATATTTCTAAGCAGAATGTTTTCACATGAATAATGCAAATTTCAATCCAATCTCTTACTTTGACTTTCAGAAGGAGAAATAAAGACAGCTAATTGGTAATCATAAGCTGGATAAAATGAGCCTGATTTTGTGGTGTTTTAGGGGAAAAAACCCCAATGTCCCCAAATTTGTCTGTGATATTCAGAACAAATTAAATAATGAAGAATTTACTGACCTTGGAATTTCCTGGAAGGTCCTGAGGCGTTTGTGAGATGTGGCATTTATTTTTAGATTCTTCAGCCTTGAAAATATTAAAAGTGGCTGTGAGGTCATTAGAACCTTTCAGGTTCATGATCCCAGTTACAACATATGAGAGTCAAAGTCAAAGGAGAGGGAAAGGCAAGGGGGCGGGGGAAGAGGGAGGGAGAGAGATAGGGAGAGGGGGAAAGGGAAGAGGACAGAGTGGGGGAGAGGGAGAGAGAGACAGAAATCGAGAATGAGAGAGAGAGAATGAGAACGAAAGAGGAAGGTAGGGAGAAGGAGGGGGGGAAGGAGAGAAAGGAAGGGAAAGGGAGAGAGGGGGGAGAGGGCGAGAGGGAGGGAGAAAGAAAGAGAGAGAAAGAGGGAGGCGGAAAGACATACGGAGGGGGGAAAGGGAGAGAGAGAGCTGGGTGCACCCCAAACTTTCTTCCTATTAAACACACAGAGGATCATCAGTACCATAACAGCAAGAGATCCCAAAATCCGGGCACGAGGTCAGAGAGAAGACCTTGGAAGGCTTATTTGACATGTGGTCCACTAGAATCTTCAGAAAGGTGTCAAGAACCAAAGTATGGGGGAGGCACAGCTATGTTGTTTTGGATTAAATGTTGAGAAAAGAAAGGCTCCTGTCAGAACATCTAGAAGGCAGACAAAATTTCTAAATGTTGATGGGCTAGCCTATCGACAGTAAGCAGAGAAAAGGCAGCTCTGCGGGCTCTTTTGCCAATTCCCAGACAGTTTCAGAGCAGAGGACAGGATATGAATACCAGTGGTATCTGCAGTCAGAGGTGTCAAACACATGGAGGCCTCCAACCCTCCCAATGCAGCCTGAACCAGATTCAAATGTAATGGGGAAATTAATAACTAAATAAAAATCCAGTAAACTCGAGATAGTGTTGCTATGTGGTTTCCTAAGTCAACATTCACCCACCAGGATCCTTCTGTATGGGTTAGTGGAGCCTATTTCTCTTTGAGTTTGACCCCACTGGTCTACATGCAGGGGGTCATCTGTAGGGATAAGACGATCCTTCCCTACAGAAATTGCTAGAATGTGTGTGTTATTTAAAGAGATTTTCTTTCCTTTTTTCCAAGACTAATTTTTTTTTGGTATTGTGACCTTGACAGACATTAACATATATAAACATTTCTATGTATAAAGAAGAGAAACCTATGAAACTGTAAATCTATAATACACAGAGCTTGTGTTTTCTTTAAAGTATATAACAGATTCAACATTTAGTTTCAAAGCCACCCTATTAGTCCATGACTCCCTCTCAATTCCCTTTGGTTTTCTTTTGTGAATTTTAAAAAGGTTCTAGCGATGCTCTTTTCTTTTTTGGGGGCGGGGAGGGCAGCACTATCACTTTCCCTCCCAATTCCTCATCCTTGAAAAAAAATCTCCCTTGTGACAAATCAGCTGAGTCAAACAAAACCAAAGGGCACACTGGCCGTATGGGAATGTGTGCGTCTACCTCTGCCTCTCTAGGCCTGTCCATCTTTCTCCCAAGATGCCTGATGCTACTTTTTCACTATCAATATCATTCCTTTGGCTTTAGGGTTTGCTGACTGTTAAAATGTAAATGCCCTACACAGAGGAAGAGGACATTATGCCTTATTTCTTCTTTACATTTTAATTCATCATATTCGCCAATTTTTAAGAACCATTCTCATAGGTGGGGTGGGTGAAAGGAACATGAAGGAACCCAGCATCTGGGAAGGGGGCTTTATCTTAAGCCACTTCCCACTTCCCCAATTTGCCTAGGGCTGGCCGTGGTCCTGGCAATGTCCCCGTGCTGATGCTGGCCTGGATTCCTACTCCTACGGACACTAAACAAAAAACTGATTGATGCCCCCCTCCTCCCAATAAAGGAACTGAAAGTGGAAAATTCTAACAAGCAAAGCTAGAAATTAGAACACAGCAAGCAACAGAGTAGTCTGGGAGAGGAAGCAGCTGGTGAACATCTGCTAAAGACAGAACGTCAAGCATTTACACCAGCTACTCAAAAGTATGACGTTTACAAAAGCCAAGATAAATGACTATTCCAAGTCAAGCTGCTATGTCCATAGTTATACACGTTCTCTTCAGCTCAGACGACTCTATTCAGCAGGACGATAGGGGTGGGAATGAGTATTTATTAAGCACCTACTATATACCAGGCACTTTACAAATAACAAGCTCATTGGATCCTCCCAACAGCCCTGGGAGAAGGGTGTTATCATCACCCTCATCTTCTAACTGAGGAAACTTCGAGGTTAACTGGCTTGCCCAGAGTCACACAAGCTAGTCAGTGTCTGAGGCTGGATATGAACACAGGTCTTCTTGACTCCATGCACTGTGGCGCCCCCTCGCTGCCCCCAGGAGGGAAGGGAGCGGACTACATTCATCTTGGCACTGGGCCTTAGTGGAAAGGAAACATGGAGAGTACCTGGGGAGGCTTAGGCTTGCAAGACAAGCTCAGTGGCTGGGGGCAAGTCACCCACTCTGAGCCTGGGTTTTCCTGGCTATTTTGGCATGGAGTGGGGGGAGAAATCAAAAGCATTCCTACTGGGTTCGAGGAATTTAAGACCAATTCTGTGACTCTGCAGTGCCAAGAGACTTCCTGATGCCCAAGGGCTCATCCCATCGCACCAGGCAGATGTTCTTCTGCACTCCTGCACCCCAGGGCTGACATCTGAAGGGCAGAGAATTTCCAGGCTGAAAGGGGCCTTAGAGATCATCTAACCTAACCATATGACTTTGTACAGGGAAGAACTAAGGCCCACAGAGTGGTTAAGTAACTCAGAGGAAGTAGCAGGCCTGAGATTTAAGCCCATGTCGTCCGATTCCAAATCCCATACTCCTAGAAGCTTGTAATACGTGATACAGCTAAGGTTAGCTGGAGGTGAGGTAATGGAGGGGGTGGTCTAGACCAGTGCTTCTCAAACTATGGGTCCTAACCCCATGTGAGGTTGTGAAAAATTTGGCAACAGTAAGGTTTCTGAACACAATGACCAAAAATTAATTAAGACGAAATGTGCAATGAATCTGAGGTGTTTCTGGCAGCACTTGTCCACGTTGCACTGAGCAACTCCACTGTAGCCCTGGTTCTGAACACACAGCATGTGAACTTTGCACTGCGCATGACGTCATGTCCACACAGCGCCAAGGAACGCTGCCTAAATGTGCAAAGGGGCTGTGAGTGGAAAAAGTTTAAGAAGCCCTGGTCTAGACAGAGAACTTCATCTCGGAAGGAAACTCCGGTATGCAAATTCCCTCTGCATCTTCTCAGTAAGTAACAGTCTGAAAAAGTTGCCTGGAGCATTAAGAACGTTGAGTGATTTGCTTCAGGACTTCCTAGGTCTTCCTAACTTCAAGGCCAATTTTCTGTCTTCTATGTAAGTACAATCTCTCAAGGCAGAACACAAAGTGCCCCACGTGAACTGCAGAGGTGTTCAGAGGGGATCAAGGAACTATCAATGAAGGTTAAAATAATCAGGGAAATGTATGATTTCTCCAAACTCTCACTAAGTCCAAAGAATCCCGAAGTCAGGATCCTTTGCCTTGGGTTCCCCACTAGCCTCCACCGCCTCCCCCATCTTCCTTATGTAGAATGCTATGGATTGTATTCAACTCAGGTCCAAACACATGTCCCCATTTGCACATCTCCACCTGTGAGCTCAGGCCAGCTGTCTCCCCAGCAGCAGTTATATATATGCTGACAAGGTTTGCTCTGACAGTGAGCTGTAACAAGTATGCCATCCAAAACCAGCAAGAGGCTGAGAAGGGAAAGTACCTCCTACATGCCGGGCATTGGTCTCAGCTCTTGATCCTCATAACAACTCTGGGAAGCAGGTGCTCTTACTATTCCCATTTTACAGCTGAGGAAGCTGAGGCAAACAGAGGTTGAAGGACGGACCCAAGATCATACAGTTAGTGTCTCAGGTAGGATTTGAACTCAGGTCTTCCTGACTCCAGGCCTACAGCTCTATTCCTCGAGCCACCAAACTGATAGACCAAATATGAGGATTTACTCAATTCCCAGTGGTATCTTCAATTCAAACACAACATTTATTAAGCACCTAACTAGGTACAAGGACTGGGGAGACAAGGCACAGGCGGAATAATCCCCATCCTTAGCAAGCTTCCATTCCTGAGAGAAGACAAGTATATTTCCTCTATTAGAGTTCCAGCAAGTGTTTGCTGAAGTGAAATGGGGACAGGTCCACCAATGCTACTCTTGGCAGCGCTCCCCGGGACATCGCAGTGCCTTTCTGATCAGACGACAAACCACTGAGGCCCACCCACAAAGACCACCATATTCGATTGCTTAATGTCACCCAGCTTAGGGAGAACTCTGAACTGCCGGTCCTCTATTCTTAAACTGTGTCCTCTGCCCATTATAGCCACCAAACCTACCTTCAGATGAGCCTTTCTGGTAATATTCCCAGAGGGCACCAAAGCAGTGTACAACACTGAGGTGCATTTTTCTTTATGTTTCTGGTTATCATAAGCTACGAGGAAACGCAAGCTTAGAATTGCTCAAGCCACAAACCAACTTACTTTGTATAACTCTGGCTTGCTGTCAGTGATTTCCACCTGGTAAACTAAGCAGTTGCTCTCAAAGTTTTCTGGACTTTCCCATTCCACATACAGGCTGTCATTCTGGAAGGAGAGGGCTGTTATGACAGGGTGTTCGGGTTTCACTGCAATACAGAAATGAAATCAAGAATACAGAGTAACTCCGGATTTCTTTTAGGTTCAGTGTGCACACACAAGGGCGGGGATGCCGAAAGGTCCCTTCGATGTTGATGTCTGGTGGTACGCATCCCTCTTTGTGCTGGGATCGTCTGAAAAACAGCACATGTGGTCCATATCCAAGCAGGACCTTCTGATCCAATTCAGCCCATGTGATGCTGGGCGGGCATGTAAGACTCTGGAGGAGAAAGAGTCTCCCAACTGTCACACAATCATGCTAATGACCAGCCAAAGGATTACAATATCAGGAAGCCCCAGGTTTGGTTCTTAGCCCATCCAGTTTTACAACAGTCAGCTCTAAGCCCGAGTGCCTTACTAGTGGGGAACACATTCAGGTAAGAGAAAACAATCTGAAGCCATTAGTAGCCAAAGACTTTCTTTTCTTTTACCATTAATATCCATGGAAAGAGAAGGCTGCCTTGGGCTTTGAGCCAGCATGGTGGCCCACTTGGCTGGCAGCAGCACTTCCATGTCTAAGACCTTAGGCTGGGCCATCTTTAGCTCCCATGTGGATATCTGGGGAGGAGCAGCAGGTGGTGGTTGCTTCAAGGCATCTGCCCCAACTCTACTTGCCCATCATTTACTGGGCCTGGGGCTCCCTGTTCAAATACAGTTCAGCTTGTGTTCAATGACATATATGCTCATTATTTCGTTACGTGGCAGGTGGAGATGATCCCACTCCACATGACAAGGATCTACCAACGAGTAGGTTAAAGAGGTCCAGTCCACTTGTCAATGGAGAAAGTCAATTCTTATGTTAGGAATGAAACGAAGACATTTGAGCAGTGATTATTTTCTCAGATTGGTAAGAGGTATGACTTACCAGAATTTAAGAAAGTGATATTATAAGAGGGTCTAATTGTTCCAGCTGTATCTGTGACCATTATTTGAATTTTTTCAGAACCTGAAACTTTCCCTTTAAGTAGATCGAAAGAACACCCAATGAGTTCACCTTCCGTATAGTAGTTTGCACACTGAAGACTTTTTTCCAGAGGGCTGTACCTACAAGGCAGAGAAATGGAGACAACCCATTTTAGAAACTGTCTAAATGAAATTTCAAAATCTAGGACAGACTGAAGTTTAGGTACATGTCTACGGAAAGCAGGACGTGCTGTGAGAAAGGTCAAGTTTATCCTTCAAACTTGTTTTTAGAAGGAGCTTCCATTTATAGGAAGGAAAACAACCTCACCACAATCTACAGTGGAAAATGAAGAGTCAACCTCTACCTGAGGCACAGCTTTTTACTCACTCACAAGAGTTCCCAATAATGAACATGCCCTGTCTTGTGCAATATCTCTCCCCTTTCCATCTACTCTGTCCCTAGCCTGTGTGTAGCTAGAGATTGACAGGTTGTCTTCCCCATTAGACTAGGACAGGGGTGGGGCCTTTTGACCGAATCCATTTGGATTTGGCCACACTTGAGGACCTAGAGGGCCACATGTGGTCTCGAGGCCGCAGATTCCCCACTCCTGGACTGGGATCTCCTTGAAGGCAAGGGCTAGCCCTCAGCACAGTGCCTGGCACACTGTTGGTGCTTAAGAAATGCAGCAGAAGAGAAGTCAAGTGTGAGGGAGCTGTGCTGTGTGCTGCTTCTAAGTTCAGCCTCCAGAGCCCTGAGTGTTCCCTCCTCCTTCAGCGTCTTCACTGTTTTACTTTCCTAGCTCTCTTCGTTCCCTTCCTCCTCTGCTAACTGTCCTTCCTCTCAGAGCAGCCTTCAAAGCCTAGTCCCGAGCCTTTGGCTTTGGAAGCATCCCTGGGAACCTCACTCCCTCCTTTAACCAACACCTCTCTGTTGTTGACTCCCCCAAGTGGGTATCACTGGCTCTGGCTTTTCATCTTTATTCTCATCCCACATTTACAGTTACCTAGCAACCACTGCCACCTGCATGGCCCACAAGCTCCTCAAACCCAACATTCTCCCTTCCCTGTCACTGGCTCTTCTTCGAAATGTCCCCATCTCTGTCCCTGGCAGAATCACCACCACTCTTCTCATCTCCCATGTTAGGAACCTTAGAATGGCCATTTTTCTTTCCCTCTCGAAATCCAATCACAAAGTCCCACCCTTTCTTACCTTAGCTCCCATCTCCATTCTGACTAAGGCCACCCTAAGACCAACAGTCCAAGCTGTTATCTCACCACATACCTGGATTACTCCAATAGCTTCCTGTGGTCATTCTGCTGCTCGTCTCTCCCCATCTTCCAATTTATCCCACTTGGAGCTGCCAGACTGATTTTCCTAATGTGTATAAGTTCACATCCAAATCTCGTTCTCTGGCTTTCAAGGCCCCCCATAATCTGCTCCACAGCATGCCCTCTACTATATGCAAAGCCCCACTGGCCCCTTAGTATGCCATGTCCCATAAAAACAGCCGAGAGATGTTTAAAAACAACTATCACCACTTTCAATAGAATCCTCCCTTAACAAAGTATAGCCAAATCAAACCAACACCTTAGCTGTGTCTGATAATGTGTGCCTTATCTCACATCTGTAGTCCACCATCTCTCCACCAAGAAGAGGTTTTATCATTAGTCCCCCCAAGTCAAGACTTACTGCACTGATCTGAGGTCTTTTGTCTTTTAGCGTGGTTTTCTTTCCTTTCCATTTCCAAATATGGAGAGACATGCAAAATAACAAAAAGGAAGGAGAACCAGAAAACCAGTGTCCACACTGGCTAGGACTACATAAGGACAACAACTATACAGATATATAAATATATATGTATATATTTATACGAAGGCATATATGTTCTACATACTGATAGCTACATAATATATACATTGGTGGTTGTCTTTGTTCTCAAAAAGGACCACAATGACTTCACTGTGCTCGAGTCAAGTTACAGTGTATCTGACTGTGGCTCATCAGACCAATACAAGCTTGGCATGTTCGACCACAGGTCGGGCACAAACAATCCATGTGAACGTTTGGGATGGATTCTCTAAATCTGCACATCTTGCATTTCTTTTGAAATACACACATAGCGTTAAGAACAAAGACTAGCAGGGAACAAAGTACGGCCAGATCGTTCTCATCACTGGTTTGGTAAAACACATGTTAAGTTAGAGTTCTGGTCATACTGTCATACTGGTTTAGAGGGATTTTCCTTCATTTTAAAGAAAATTTATATTTAACATACAAACAGAAGACAGAATTTGAAGATTCCTAACCTTTCCAGGAGAATCAACCTGGATTCACTGGCCTGGAGAGTCTGCACTTGGCAGATCGACTCTGAAGAAATTCAGGACCTCCCCTGCATCCTCTAGGTTGATGCCAGTTTTTTGATGGGGGGGGCAGGAGGGGCAGTCACTAATCTCCTCTCCTTTCCCTCCTCCCCCAGCCAGAGAACTTTCTGTCCCTTTTTCTTCTGGTGTGCCTGGCAGGGGGTGAGGATCCACTGACCAAAGGGTAGTTTCACGAGCAGGGGGTGAGCTCCTATGCCCGAGGTAGGGAGCCCACACAGAGGTGGGGAAGCAGGAAGCAATGCCAGTTTCTGAATCTCTTCGCCAAATGTCCGACAGCATCTTTTACAGACAGAGCGGGCATGGACCTTACTCACAAGCCAATGAAAAGGTGACATTCTAATCAAAGGTGAGGGACAGATTGAACGTTTGTTAATTCAAATGCCCTATCTTCCTCCAATTTAGCAGCAAGTGGACAAAGCAGAGAATTGGGAGCCACAGAGAGACTCAACGGAGCTCTTTGGATAAAGGGAAGAGCTCAGCTATAAGGAGCCACCTTGAGATGTATGCTCCACAGAGGCTGAGCTAACAATTGGCTTGGGCTTCCCATCTGCTAGAAATCACCTTTGGGGCGTATGTGTATGGGTGCTGGTGTGTATGTGTGGGGCACTTCCTATTGCTGTTTCCCCAGGCTGCTGAGCCCCACCTACCAGTAGTACAGAGCGTAGTTTGTGCCAGGAGGCGCCTTCTTCCCGGGGAGCCACGTACAATTCATTTGGCACAGGTTGTACCAAATACACTGCAGTCTTGTTACGGCAGACTCCGGGTCACCTGGAAAACCAGAGGCCAGGGCAGCTTAGAGCACGCCTCCCCCTCGTCCTCCACCCGCCATCCCCAACCAGGATGTTCTCAGCTACCTCACCACCTTTCCTCATAAAATGAAAAGTCTTTTTAGTGGAGCTGTTGGGAAGATCAAAGGAGATGATATACGTGAAGCACTCTGCAAACCTGAAAGCCCCATAGAAATGTTAGCTTTTATTACTTCTTATTATTAGTGTTCTGTACTCAGACCCACGGGTAAAAGCCAATAACTGGAGGTCAGACTCAGCTCCAGTCACAAGTAGCTTGTCTTATTTGCTCTCTCCCTCCTTTTCTGTACCTTCTGACTTCACCCAGCTCAGGGGGCCCACCAGGGTCACAGGCTCTTCTTCCCTTCCTACTCACAAGGGTCTTCCAGCACTCCAATGGAGGAAGGCCTGAAAGTTTAGGGTAGCATTTCCTGCATCTTAAGAGTATCTCCTCTACTCATAAGGGAACCAGTTGGCCAGAGGGTTCTCTGATTCCCAGCTAAGCCACAGCAAGCTCTCAGTCTCCATCTCTTGCTTTAATGTTGTAGCAGAAAATAGTTCCTAGATGTGACAGTTTCTGCACCTGCCAGCTGAGCTCAATGAAGCTCTGCTCTAGCCCCTCACTCTCTACCTCTTCAGACTATTTGCTGGTTGCCATATTTCCTCAGTTGGGCTGTCCATTCAAAATCAAATCTATGTGTTTGTTGTGTTGACTACTACTAATGGGTTAATATGTTAAGCTGGTAGTTTTCCCAACATTATAACCTGAGTCTTCTAGAAATAATGGCTTAAGCCAAAAGAATGACAATAAGGACTAGCAATTTCAGGCCTGGTAGGGTTGATTTTATTTTTTGCTGGAGGGGGGGGGACACAAATAGTCCTTTCAACTCCCCTCAAATCACACCATGTGGTTACCTTCTTAACCTGAGGGTCAGCCTGTAGTCTATTCTCACCCCATTCCCGCCCCCCTTCTCTCCCCTCCCCCATGCCCCCAATTCTGCCAAGTGCAGATATGACCCATACCCCATCCGACCCTTTCTTCCACCACTTGATCTTGAGAAGACCAGCTTGTTGCCCATGAGTGGCCCTAAATGGTGTCACTGCAGATGCCTAAATAACTGAAGAAGTTACATTGCAAGTGGTTTTTGAATCATTACTCTTCGGGGGCCCAAACAGCCTCACTTCCTACTGAAAAGGAGTCACAGAGAAGGAGGAAATCAAACCCTAATCCAAGTTATCCTTTCAATCCCTGGCCTGGGTGCCATATCGAGCTTCCTGCTTTCTCCTGTTCTGAGAGGGGAAAAGCCAGCTAAGCAAATAAGGCCAAGGGGGGCCTGGCAGGGGGCTGAGGTAAAAGGAAGGGGAAGATGGGAGAGTTAGCTGCTGCCAGGGCAAAGAAAAAGTCCTGCGGGTTCAAGTATTTCAAGTTTTATCATGTATCTCATCATCTAATCACTTAAACTAGAATGCAGCCTGGTTGAGGCCAATTTGGGGTCTTCTCAAAGCTGCTAGACAGTCACCCCTGCCCTGTCACATTCCACACCCCAATTCCAATAATGATAACAATAAGTAACCATGGGCACCAACGAAGAGGAGAAAACCTTGAACAGGCTGAAGAAAGATGGCGCTCATGCTGTCCTTTCAGCTTCTAAGGGTTCACTATTTCTTTCAAGAACTCTGACACCAAAATGAAGGAGGGAAGGTTTTGTCCTAAGGACAGGGGAATACTGAAGTTTTTAGACAGAGAAACAGGCCAGTGAATATGGACATTGAAAAACCAAAACTACATAGTAGTTGTAGGCTTAGAAAGCAGGAAAGCTACCACTTCCTCTGAATAGGAGGACACAGAGAAAAGGATGGGCAGAAGACACAAAAGCTTAAGGTACAGAGCAGGAGAGTTGAAGGAATTCCTATAGATGGACTCCATCTTCCCAATGCAGCAATCCAATTCAATTCTACTTTGAGCTGAGTGAGTAGGGTAGGACTTTGAGGAATACCAACACTTTAGAATTATCCCTCTGAAGAACAGGAGAGATTGGATAAGAGATGAGCCAAAGGACTGCCAAACAGCTGTGAGGGCCAAGCTAGCAGAGAGCATGAATTTGTAGGGGCCCCAATCTGCACTTTTGAACTTTCTCTAGCAAGATCTGGCAAGCTAGGAGTAAAAAAAAGTACATGTTGGGGGTTAGGCAGAATTAGGGATTGGCAGGGCAGGGGTGGTAACTGGTTTAAAGGGCTGAAGGATTCTGGGACTGAGATCAGTGAACTGGCTGAGCATAGGGTCCAGGCCAGTCAGGAAGGCTGAGCTTCATCTCTGTGCCATCTTCCCTTCCTCCTCATATATGTATGTATGTATGTATGTATGTATGTATGTATGTATGTATGTATGTATGTATGTATGTGTGTGTGTGTGTGTATACCCTGTCTACTATCTTCTCTCCTCCGCTGCCTTGAAAAATCCTCAATTCTCCCCAATTTAAAAATCACCCTCATTTGACCCTATTGCTCCTTCTTTACCTACTGGCTTTTTTCTAGTGTCTCTTTCTTCTAAGTATCTTGTTTCCAAAATGTCCTCTTCATCACCCATTCACTCCTCGAGTCTCAGACCTCTCTACTGAAACTCATTTCTCTAAGGTCATTAATGACAAGCAAATCACCAAATCCAGTGGCTTTTCCTCCACCCTTATCTCCCATGGGCTGCCACTGCTGATGACAAATTCCCAAGGAGGTCCCTTGCCCCTTTGCTTGACGTGCATATACCCTACCTCCTCCGTCTCCTCCTGCCCTTTTCTGGCCCCTCCTAGGTACTGAACTGTAAATCTTGGGCCTTGGCTCTCTGCCTCTTCTCCCTCAGGCCCTTGGCCATTGCCAGGATTCCAAGCTGGAAAGGAAGCACTGGATTAGCCCCATTTTATAGATAATTTTACCTTCCGGGGGCACAGTGCACATTTCTACAGCATCACTAGGATTTGTGCTGGATACACTGCACTGTGATCTCACTTGGAGGCAAATTCTTTCATTTAGGGCCACTTCTTCAACCCGAAAGGTCTTTAAACTGATTACCTAAAGTTAAAAACAACAACAACAACAAAAGACCATGATTATACCCTGCGAAGAGAATACAATTAAGTGAGAAAACAGTGTCGGACCTGAGAATCGAGCTGCATTTCACTTGTGGGGCCCCGACCCGTGATGTCATTGCCTCCACCAAAACAGATGAGAAACTGCTTTTCAACTTGGAGTCTTGGAGGACTTCCCAGGCACTGAGAGGTGATGCCACTTGCCCAGGGTCACACAGACAGTGTGGCCCTGAGGAAGGATCTTACCCTAAGGTCATCTCTCTATCCACAACATTATGTTGTCTTCCTCTTAAATTTAATTGGAAAAGAAATACAAGGTGCATCAAAATTGCCCAGTACAATCCCACATACCTTGAGAAACAATGGGACATAAGCAAATTAAACTTTCACAAGGTGATATGTGAAAATGTACTTCAAATAAAGAAAAACGTGTCCGTTCCTAATTGTATCTCCAAATAAACCATATCCTGCTTTGCAAGAGATCTGGCTTTGAGTTATGGAGATATCTGTGCAGATAAGTTTTCCACCTGATGGTTGGTACATAGACCATCTCTGCTCAAAATCTCAAGGGAATGCTTAGCATTCCAGCATCTCACATAAGATAATACACTCCAGCTGAAGTAATTGTATTTCCTTTTTTTTTCTTGAAAAATTTTTATATTTTGTTTTTTTCAGATTACATGTAAAAACAATTTTTAACTTTTGTTTTTTAAAAAAACTTGAGTTCCAAATTTTCTCCCTCCCTGAGATGGCAAACAATTAGATATAGATTATACATGTGCAGACATGCAAAACATACTTCCACTAATAATTGTATTTTCAATACTATCCCTTCAAGAACAAACATCTATGCTTAGACTATAACATAGGGGTCAAGCTCAGAATTGATGGGGAACCCAAACCAAATGGAACCATATGAAGCCCATACCAATGGTTATTATCTATATCCTCCACAGATCAGTTTTCCCTCTTCTTCTCACAAGAGCTCTGAGATAAGCAGAACTTTCAACTTTGAAGAAGCTATCTCATTAAAGCTCAAAAGAGGGAAGATTATTCTCAGCCAACTCTACCTTTTCCTCTTATTGGCTGCTTCGGGCCCAATGAAGGACTCAATAGAAACTTGAAACCAGAGTGACCCCTGAAATGACCCTGCAGGACCAGGGCTCATTTGGTTGGCTCATACTATATTTCTTTTCTCAGAAGAGGCGCTCCCTCCTAATCAATGCTTCCATGAAACTACTATGGCTATGGTAACAGGTTTTTGATGGATTCACTAAGTGGGATAATCTGGTCTCTCTCCTGGTGATGACATACCCAAAACTAGGCTAGCACAGCCTTCTTGTATTATGGTAATAATATCCAATCACTTTTCATTCTACAGTGGAAAAAAACACAATTTATTGTAATGCTTAAGAAATGGTTAAAAATCAGTTTTTCATTTTTATGGTCCTAGAATCCCAAGCCTAAAAATGACCTTCCAAGATTACATACTCAATCACCTTAAGATATTTAAATTCTAACTCTTGAATCCTGAATATCTTATCTAGTTAAATTGTTGCTTTAATATACTTCAAGGAGATATGAAAGATACATCATAAATACATAATATTTCAATAAATACATATAACACAGTGAGTAAAGACATTAGAAAATGTCAAGGATAGATTATTTCTAATTATTTTCAACCTTAGGTCTTAAATTCAAGTGTTTTGAAGTTTTGGTTGCAAATAGATACTTTCCATCTATTAACTCAGCACACTGTCTATAACAAGGTAATGACTTTATCAATGATACTGTCCACATGGCTCAGTCTCTGGGCTCCAACATCTGCCTTTCTCTCCAACAGAGCTGAGGCATCAATGGTACACGACTTCCAAGAGGGACCACACAGTCCATTTTTTTCTTTGGAAAGATGACTTCTCATTCATAATTGAAATTGAATGATTAGGCTCTTAGTACAGAGGTAACATCCAAGAGTACATAAGCTTCCTTCACTGAACTTCTTAAAGGCAGAGACAGTCACCACTATGCAAGCAAATTCAGGCTAATCTTTAGATGATGTCCTCCCCCCCACCTCGGCCCCAAAATATCAATCCTCCCTCAAGGAGGATGTCATATCATTACTGGAGTGTCACTGTTTTGAATGATATTTTTTGTTCCTCGGGAAAATGCAAATATGGTATTCCTGGTCCACCTCAAACCCTTATCAACTAATACCTTGTTTATGAGGGCAGCCTAGGATAGGCAGAGCCTCTGGGAGACCCTTCTCACAACTATGTAAAATGCTGATCCATCTGCTTTGCAAGCCACAGAAGGGCACTAATTAATATTACTCCTTAGTAACGTCCTTTTTTTTTTTTTAAGGCAGTTGGGGTTAAGTGACTTGCCCAGGGTCACACAGCTAGTAAGTGTCAAGTGTTTGGTCTGAGGCCGGATTTGAACTCAGGTCCTCCTGACTTCAGGGCCAGTGCTCTATCCACTGTGCTACCTAGCTGCCCCTAGTAATGTCCTTTTTTAAAAAAAATTTTTTCTGGTTATACTTTAAATTCCAAACTGTCCCTCCCTTCCTCCCCACTAGAGAAGGCCACCATTTGATACAGATACACATGCACACACATATACATATATGTATATGTGTATATGTAAAACCATATTGTGCATACTTCTATTTATCAGTTCTTTCTCTGGAGGTAGATAGCATCTTCCTTCATAGGTCCTTTGTAGTTAATTTGAATATTTATAATACTCAGAATAACTTAGTTGTTCACAGTTATTCTTTGAACAATACTGATATTATGGTATACAATGTTCTCTTGGTTCTACTCATTTCACTCTGCGTTATTTCATGTATGTCTTTCTGTTTTTCTAAAATCAACCTGCTCATCATTTCTTACAGCATGGTAGTATTCCATCACAATCATATGCCACAACTTGTTTAGCTATTCCCCAGTTGGTGGGCATCCCCTCAGTTTCCAGTTCTTTGCCACCACAAAGAGAACTGCTATAAATATTTTGGAACATATGGGTTCTTTTCCTTTTTCCTTAATCACCCTTAGGAAATAGACCTAGCAGTGGTATTGCTGGGTCAAAGGGTATAGACAGTTTTATACCTTTTTGGCATAATTCCATATTGCTTCCAAAATGGTTGGATCAGTTCACAGTTCCACTAACAGTGTATTAGTGTCCCAATTTTTCCACATCCCCTCCAACACTTGTCATTTTCCCTTCCATCATTTTAGCCAATCTGATAGGTGTCAGATATCTCAAAGCTGTTTTAATTTACATTTTTCTAATCAATAGTGATTCAGAACATTTTTTCATATGACTAGGTAGTTTCGATTTCTTGTCTGTTCATATCCTTTGACTATTTATCAATTGGGGAATGACTCACAGTCTTATAAATTTGACAAAGTTCTCCATATATTTGAGATATGAAACCTTTATCAGAGAAACTGTCTAGGAAATCTCCCCACCCCCAATTTGCCACTTTCCTTCTAATCTTGGCTATTTTGGTTTTAGTTGTACAAAATCTTTTTTAATTTAATGCAATCAAAATTATCCATTTTACATCTCACAATCGTCTCTATCTCTTGTTTATTTATAAATTTTCTCCTATCCGTAAGTCTGATAGGTAACATGTTCCAAGTTCTTCTAATTTTCTTATATCTCCTTTTATATCTAGGTCATGTATCCATTTTGACCTTATCTTGGTAAATGGTATAAAATGTTGGTCTGTACCTAATTTCTGCCAAGCTGCTTTCTAGTTTTCCTAACAATTTTTACCAAATAGTGAATTCTTATCTCAAAAGCTTAAATCTTTACATTTGTGAAACACGATGTTACTGCAATCATTTACTACTATGTATTGCATGTCTACACTGATTGACCTTTCTATTTCTTAACCAGTACCAGACAGTGTGATAATTACCACCTTATAATACAGTTTTAAGATCTGGTATTGCTAAACCTTCTTCCTTTATATTTTTTCCCCATTAATTCCTTTGATATTCTTGATCTTTTGTTCTTCCAAATGAATTTTGTTATTTTTTTTTTCTAGCTCAGTAAAATAATTTTTTTGGTAACTTAATTGGTATGGTATTGAATACGTAGATTAGTTTAGGTAGAATTGTCATTTTTTTATATTGATTCTACCCACCCATGAACAATTAATATTTTTCCAATTATTGAAATCTGACTTTATTTGCATAAAAAGTGTTTGATAATGATATTCATGTAGCTCCTGGGTTTGTCTTGGCAGGTATACTTGCAGGTATTTTATGTTGTCTGCAGTTATTTTACATGAGGTAGGTATCTCTTACTATCTCTTTTCATAGGGATTTGTTGGTGATATATAGAAATGCTGATGCTTTATGCAGATTTATTTTATATCTTGTTACTTTGCTAAAATTATTGCTTCAATTTTTAGTCATTTATTTTGTTTGTTTTTATGTTTTAGTCTAAATTTAATGAACACCCTAACCCCCTAAAAAAAGAACATTTCTATACAGAAAGTATGACAGGAAAAAGTTATATGGGAAACCATGAATCTTTTATTACATACAGTTTACTTTCTCAGTAATCTCTTAATTTCAGAAACCTAAAGTCCTATTCTGAAGACATTAAGGGCAACAATAGGAAATATAAACACAATCTCTTGTTGTGGGGGGTCTAGGGAGCTTGGGGTAAGACTGGCAGCATGGGGAAGAGAAACTGGTTGGATCAGATAAGTTAACACAACAGACCAGAAATTATTCAGACTGACCCAGTGAAAATGAGGTTCCTTACCACGCTGGCTGCACAGTGACGAATTTTTTTGGCACAGACCCTCGGAAAGACTGTTTACTGAAGTGCTGTTATTGGCATAAGTGGAAGTAGTACATATACTGTTATACTCATCCTTGAAATATTGAAGTGTAATGAAAATTTTACTTAAATTCTAAAAGAAAGGTTAAAAGTTGCCCTATTGACTGTGCAAGTTAAGATAACTTCTTATTAGAAGCAATTACTGACTTTTGCCTGAATTCACTCTAACTGGTTATGTGGCAAGAACCTATCCAATGGGAACAGCTGATTCCACATCCATCCCATAAATATTGTAACCTTGCGAAACAAAAACACATGTGATTTCTCACCTGGATCTTCTGTAGATGGCCAGATTTTGAGGATATTCCATTTTCTCAATATTTTTGTTTGAAATGTAACTTGAAGATCACAAAGAGAAATCCCAAACCAATAAGAAATGGTAATTTACCCAACCTTTTGCAGAATTCTTGACACCAATTTTGCATTACCAATGCAATAAATAGCAAGAAAACTTACCCTTGAATGAAACATACCTCGTCCTCCCCCAAATGACTATCATACCACAGCTTACATGTTGCATTGACACCTTCAGGAGGACTCCACTGCCAATAGATAGTACAGAGGTTCTTCACGGAAATGCTGAAATTGGTCACAGGTGGGGGATGGGCTTCTGTTCAAACCAAGCATAAGAAAAGTCTTGTTTTGTTTTTTAAACAGCTATCTCTTGGTATTATCGATGCCTCATTGAATCTTTTTATTTGTATGTATGTATTGAAAATGTAGACCATAGTTTAGCTCGGGGCCTTAGCTTCTTCCTCTGTCTGGAGTCCACTCATATCTCAATTTTCAACAGCCACATTCAGAGTCAGGGTATTATAGGCAGCTAGGGGGCACCACAGTGTACACAGTGCCAAGTCTAGAGTCAGGAAGAATTCAAACCTGGCCTCAGCCACTTCCTAGCTGTGTGACTCTGGGCAAGTCACTTAACCTCTGTAGGTCTGAGTTTCCTCTATGGTAAAATGGGAATAATAATAATAGCACCTACCTTCAGGGTTGTGGTGAGGACCGAATGAGATAATAATATTTGTATAGCACTTAGCACAATGCTTGGCACAAAGTAGGCACTTAAACACTTGTTTCCTTCTTCCTTCCCTACAGTCTTAAGGCTGTTTTAGTGAAAGTGAGAAGCCTTTCCAATTTTTTTTTTTTAGTAAGTCTTTCCTAATGACCTAATAGCTTTTGGAGCAGCACTTACTTGGGTTCTGGCTTTCTCACACTGCGCCCCCTCCCCATCTCTCCCTCCACTCCCCCTTTTCCCCAGTTGTGAGAGAATTTAAAAGCACTCTGTGGTTCCTGAAGGCACCTGCAGCTCTGGATCACCTGAGGAGACGGAGATGGAGATGGAGACAGAGATGGAGAAAGTACTTTGTGCCCCTTCCAGTGTTCCAGGAAAAGAAATCAGCTGCTTCAGCCAGGGTTGGCTTACTTCTATACTCTCTAACCATATGACTGGTTCCATCTTTGAGGGAGGTATCACCCAATCTCATGAGTTTCTTTTTCAAACTTGTGGCCATTCTGACAAACATTTCTACTTTTTTTTTTCATTTCTTCTGCTAACTTTTTTTAAATATAAATTTATTTATTTTTAGTTTTCAATATTCACTTCCACAAGTTTTTGAGTTCCAAATTTCTCTCCCCTCCCCGCACCCCAAGATGGCATGCATTCTGAATATCCCTTCCCCTAGTCTGCCTTCTCTTCTATCTCTCCCCCCTCCCTTCTCTTATCCTCTTCCCTTCTATTTTCCTGTAGAGCAGGATAGACTTCTGTACCCCATTTCCTGTATTTCTTATTTCCCAGTTGCATGTGAAAACATTTTTTTTAAACATGTGTTTTTAAAACTTTGAGTTCCAAATTTTCTCCCTCCCTCCCTCCCCACCCACCCTCATTGAAAAGGCAAGCAACTCAATATAGGTTGTACGTGTGCAGTTATGCAAAACACTTTCTTAGTAGACATGTTGTGAAAAACTAACTCTATTTCCCTTAATCCTATCCTGCCCTCCCATTTATTCTATTCTTTCTTTTGACCCTGTCCCTCCTCAGAAGTATTTGCTTCTGATTACCCTCTTTCCCAATCTGCCCTCCTATCACCCCCCTGCTCTCTTGTCCCCTTCTCCCCCTATTTTCCTGTAGGGTAAGACAGATTTCCATACCCAATTGAATGTGTATGTTATTCTCTCCTTAAGCCAAATCCTATGAGAATAAGATTCCCTCATTCCCTCTCACCTTCCCCTGTTTCCCCTCCACTGTGAGAGACTTTTCTGTTTTTTTTTTTGTGAGATAATTTACCCCATTCTACCTCTCCCTTTCTTCTCTGAGTATCATCCTCTCTCATCCCTTAATTTTATTCTCCAGATATGACCCCTTAATCTTCAACTCACCCTGTGCCCTCTATCTATCTATCTATATATACATACATACATACAATTTTTTTCCTTCAACTACCCTAATACTGACAAAGTTCTCATGAGTTACAAATATCATCTTTCCATGCAGGAATGTAAACAGTTCAATCTTAATAAGTCTCTTATGATTTCTCTTTCCTGTTTACCTCTTCATGTTCCACTGGAGTCCTGTATTTGAAAGTCAAATTCTGTTTAGCTCTGGTCTTTTCATCAGGAATGCTTGAAAGTCCTCTATTTCACTGAATGACCATTTTTTCCCCTGAAGGATTATACTCAGTTTTGCTGGGTAGGTGATTCTTGGTTGTAATCCTATCTCCTTTGCCCTCTGGAATATTATATTCCATGCCCTGCGGTCCTTTAATGTAGAAGCTGCTAAATCTTGTGTTATCCTGATTGTGTTTCCACAGTACTTGAATTGTTTCCTTCTGGCAGCTTGTAATATTTTCTCCTTGACCTGGGAACTCTGGAATTTGGCTACAATATTCCTAGGAGTTTTCCTTTGGGGATCTCTTTCAGGAGGAGATCTGTGGATTCTTTCAATTTCTATTTTGCCCTCTGGTTCTAATATCAGGGCAGTTTTCCTTGATAATTTCTTGAAAGATGATGTCTAGGCTCTTTTTTTGATCATGGCTTTCAGATAGTCCAATAATTTTTAAATTCTCTCTCCTGGATCTATTTTCCAGGTCAGTTGTTTTTCCAATGAGATATTTCACATTGTTTTCTAATTTTTCATTCTTTTGGATTTGTTTTACATTTTCTTGATTTCTCATAAAGTCACTGTCTTCCAATTGCTCTATTCTAATTTTTAAGGAAGTATTTTCTTCAGTAATCTTTTGGACTTCCTTTTCCATTTGGCCAATTTTTCTTTTTAGGGCATTTTTCTCCTCATTGGCTTTTTGGACCTCTTTTGCCATTTGGGTTAGGCTGTTTTTTAAGGTGTTATTTTCTTCAGCGTTTTTTTGGGTCTCCTTTAGCAAGCTGTTGACTTGTTTTTCATGATTTTCTTGCATCACTCTCATTTCTCTTCCCAGTTTTTCCTCTACTTCCCTTACTTGCTTCTCAAAATCCCTTTTGAGCTCTTCCAAGGCCTGGGACTGATTCATATTTTTCTTGGAGGCTTTGGATGTAGGAGCTTTGACTTTGTTGTCTTCTTCTGGTTGTATATTTTGATCTTCTTTTTCACCAAAGTAAGATAATATAGTCTGACTCTTTTTGCGCTGCTTGCTCATGATCCCAGCCAATTACTTGAGTTTTAAACTCTTTGTTAAGGTAAGAGTCTGCTTCCAATGTGGAGAGTGTACTGTCCCAAGCTTCAGGGGTTTGTGTAGCTGTTTTCAGAGATACTTGTAGGGACCTGTAAATTTTCAGTTCTTCCAAGGTGGTATGATAAGGGGCGAGGTGTTTACCCCTTTCCCGGCCTGTGACCACAAGTATTCCTTTCTATCCAGTAACTGTGAGGAGGGGTTCCTGTCCACAGCTACTACAAGCTCCACCACGCCAGCACTCCTCCTCACCCCAGCACTGCCGCCCAGAACTGTGACCCAGATCCAAACACGGGCAAAGCAAGAGATTCCTGCCTCAGCACTGCCAAAGAGATCCCTGCAGTCCCTCTCTGATCAGCCACTGGATTCCCCCTCAGTCTGTGGGCCGGAAGCTCAGGAAGCAGCTGCCCCCCCCCAGGGCCAAGCTCTTGGGGATTGGAGTTGAAACCCCGCCTTCCTCTCTGACCACTGACAGAAACAGACTTTTCCCACTGACCTTCTAAGTTGTCTTTGGCATTGGTGGATTGAGGAGTCTGGAAACCTCCGCAGCTGCCCGCGATTCAGTCCTTTGAGGCCTGCTCCAGGTTTGCTGTGGCTTGCGCGCCCACGCCGCGCTGTGCTGCGCTCCCAGCCCAGCACGATACACCTTTCTGATCAATCATCCAGGTTGTCTTGGGCTGGAAATTTGTTTCACTCTGTCTTTTTGTGGGTTCTGCTGCTTCAGAATTTGTTTAGAGCCATTTTTTATGAGTGTTTGGAAGGGTTTGGGGGACAGCTCAAGCAAGTCACTGCTTTCACTCCGCCATCTTGGCTCCGCCCCACTTCTGCTAACTTTTTACATCATGTATTCACATCAATTTTAACATCGAGTGTTTGCCACTTAACAACTGTACTCTCTGTTCTGCAGATACAAAGAAGAAATTCTAGCTTTTAGCAGGATTTCCACGGGTAAAGGTTGAGCCATTGGGGTGGGTCCATTTTAAGGACAGGGAACAGACAGGGATGTGAAATAGTACAAAAGGGCAGGGGGGCAGTGAGTAGTCCAGTTGGACTGGAATGTGGAATGTATGAAAGGATTTAAGAGAAAGGCTTGAAAGGAAGGTTGGAGTCAGGTTGCATAGGGCCTTGAATGCTAAGATCAGAAGGTTATACTTTATTTTGTAATAGGTAGCCCTGGACAAGTTTTGAAGAGTGGAGTGACGGGATCAGGGTGGGGCATTACAAAGATTACTTGTATGAAAGGGAGCCCCTGAACACAGGAAGGCCAGTTAGGAGGCTATTACAAGAGTCTTGATGTGAAAGAGAGGAGAGAATCAAAGATGATTCCAAGTGCTTGAGTCTGGGTGACTGGGAGTATGATGGTACCATCATAATGAGTTGCTAGTCAAGGGAAGATTTTTTAGAGGTGAAGAATTTTGGCCATGTGGAGTATGAGATGCCAATGGGGCTATCCGTGTTGCTATGTCCAACAGGTAGACATTGAGTAAAGGAGCTCTGAGGAGAGGTCAGGCAGAAACACAGGTGTGGATGTTATCTGCATTGAAGGTAATCATTGAAGCCACTGGAACAGACAAAATAATAAAATATAAAAGGAGAAAAGACCTATAGAGAGAAGAATTATACAGATGAAAACTTAGGGGGAAAATGAGAAGCTAGCAAAGGAGTCAAAGAAAAGGAGATGTTGGAGAAGTGTCTCAGGAGAGGATGGAGGATCAAATGAGAATAAGCAATTCATAGGCTCACAGGAAGGGCCCTTAGAGGCTACTGAACGCAACCTCATTTCACAGAGAAAGAGACAGGCTCAGAGAGTTGAAGTGACTTCCCAGGGTCACAAAACTCCTAAGGCTCTGAGGCAGAATTTGAACTCAGGTCTTCCTGATTCTAAGTCCAATGCTCTATCCGATATAATTTACACACACAAAACTGTACAGAGAATTGTGCTAGAATGGGGGTGGGAGAGATATAAAATGTAGTTAAGATACAGTCTCTGGTGTAACTGAGCTTACAGTATACATAGAGAAACATGATACAAACTAATGCTGTATTAATGCAACTGTGTAATTCACTGTATTAGAGAGATGTAAATTAAAATATTATGTGAGGCAAATTGGATAGAAGGGGGGAAAAAAAGAAGATCAGTGCCATCCAAGGAGAGTGATGGGATCAGGAGCCAAGTCCTTTTAGACTAAAATCACAGGGATCTCAGATGAAAAAACTGAGGGCCAGGGAGGTCATCCAGGTAGGAAGCATCTGAAGAGTTTGAACTCAAGCCTTCTGACACCAGCTCTTTCCACCTTACCTTGCTGAGTATCTTTAAAAAAAACCCTTTTAATCTGGTCTTATGTACTCTCCCCTCCCACAAGCATCCAGATTTATAACCCCAGCCTAAGTGTAAAAAGGCTAGGTCTTATCTCCGCTGTCTCAAGCTAAAGGTCTAAATCTGAACATCACTTATTTTCTGGTAGAAAAATGTATATTCTTGAAATTTCCTTCAGTTTTCAATGGCAGTGAAATTTTTCAAGTTCTCCAAAGGCTAAAGAATTACAATTCTGCCCAGAAAACTTTCTTCAGCAGCAACGATTTGTGGTCTGGATGTCTTGACTGACCTCAGAAGATCATAGAGTCAGAGCTAAAAGCGACATTAGAGGCTGAGATGAGGAACTGGAAGCTCAGAGAGTTGAAGTGACTTGTCCAGGGTCACCCAGCTAGCAAGTGTTGAAGGCAGGATTCAAACTTGGATTTTCCTGATGACAAGGGCCAATGTTTTTCAATAACGCCATGCTGCCTCTCAAAGCAGCAAGAAAGGGGCGGGTAGGTGGTGCAGTGGATAGAGCACTGGCCCTGGAGTCAGGAGGACATGAGTTCCAATCCAGCCTCAGACCAAACACTTGACACTAGCTGTGTGACACTGGGTAAGTCACTTAACCCCAATGCCTAGCAAAAACAAACAAAAACCCCCCAAAAATCAAAGCAGCAAGAAAAACTAAAACTTTGGATTTCAAGTTTAGAGAAGGAAAAATAATCCCTTGTTTAGTTGATTACAAATGACCAAACTCACTATTCTTGAGCTGATGATGAGTTTACAAAGCTTTCCTACAAAACCTCAGGTTTTAATCTCTCCTATGTGAACACATTAATACCGATAGAACACGGTGGTTTTTTGGGAAGAGATAAAACCTTGGCATTATCTCATCACCTTACAGAGACAGGATGTAGTGTTGATTTTGCTGGGCTTGGAGTTAGAATGGGCTGATACTTGCTAGTTTTATGACCAACCTCTCTGAGCCTCAATTTTCTCATCTGTAAAATGAGAATGCTATTATGCATACTGCCTACCTCTCAGGGCTTTTTTGAGAAAAGTCTTTCATAAAAAGCTCTACATCAATGTGAAGAATTATTATAACCTTTGACTCATTTCTCTCTATCCTTCAGTCAATAACCAAGTCCTGTCTGTTTTTCTTTCAAACCTCTCTTGTGTTTATACCTTCCTCTCCATTGGTGCATCTGACAAGATATTGAGTCCCTACTTTGTACAAAGCACCAAGATGGAAAAAATGTATCAGACGTGGCCCCTGCTAGCAGGTTTGTAACCTAGCATCCCAGGACATTCTGCACATGTGAATTAATCACCTATTTCTAGATGCCAGTCTTTTTCTCATCTAATCCACTCCACATAAAAAAAAAAATCTTCCTTAAATGTTACTTTCATCATGTCATTCGCCTACCAAAAGCCCTCCATGGTTCCTTGCTGCCTATATCAAGTCTAACTTGCTCTTCCTACCTGGTTAACATCCCATTATTTTTCCCTATGCTCTGCTCTGGCCAGATCAGCCTCCTCAAAGTCCATACACTGGGCTCATTTCTCCCTCCAGGTCTTTTTACTCTCCATGTTTCCTTCACCTGAAAAACACTCCCTTCCTTCCATCATTTAGAGTCCATCCATCTTTCAAGGCCTGGCTCAAGTTCCTCTTCCTCCGTGAAGCTTTCTGTGGTTACTTCAAGCTTCATCAATTGCTTTTTACTGGAAACTACATTATTGGCCCATTGTTAAAAATAAAAAAATCCAAAAAAAAAAACCCCCAAAACCACCAAGGTAGCTAGGTGGTGCACTTCCAGAGTTCAAATCCAGCCTCAGACACTCACTAGCTGAGAGGCCCTGGCCAAGTCACTTCACCCTGTTTGCCCCAGTTTCCTCATCTATAAAATGAGCTGGGGAAGGCAATGGCAAACCACTCCAGAATCTTTGCCAAGAAAACCCCAAATGGGGTCATGAGGAAAGAGTAGGACACAACTAAAAAATGAAACACCAAAGGAACCCAAAACAACGCAACCTATGAACCACTTTGCCTGATTTTGCTGCCAGATCTTCCCTACCTTCTAGCCTCAGCCTTACCCAATTCCCTCCACCTCCCAGCTTGGAAACCTAACCATCATTCACTGAGTTCCAAACTACCAATCAGAAACGAAATTTTGGAACCCAACAGCTTTGTAAGATGGAGACCGTACTCAGTTTTGAGGTGGTCCTCGTGTTTAGGACGCAGCTCTGTATAGGGAAACAACGTCACTCGGTCAAGAAACCTGGCCTGTAGCTTCCTGACTGACAAGTGACTTCACCATCCTCTATGCCAATGGAGAGAACAGTGGGGCTGCTTTTGGAGCACCTGAGTCTGAATCTTAGCTGTTAGTAGGCACTGCGGCAAGCGTCTTCCCTTCTCTAGGCTTCTGGCTTCCTTCCTCCTAAAATGTGGGAGTTCAGCCTGGATGTTCCCTCAAGTTCGTCTAAGACTCAAAATCATGTGATTTTCTGAATCTTTTCTCCCCAGTGAGACTGCTAAGCGCTTAATGTATATGTATTAGTTAATCAACCGACTTTAAAAGCTGGGAGTCAGTATATAAAAGAGAATTTCAATTTTTTGGAAACCTGGGGATAACAGGAGTGGTTTTCCCCCACCTCGATCCTTAAACTATCAACAGCGCAAAGCCTAGCAGACAAGGCAATACTAAAAGGAAATTGTGAGAGGTTTTCATTCCCTTTCAGCCTCTGTCCGTCAGTCCAGGGACCAAACTAGGCTCTTGCCTGCGGGGCTGCCCTCGGCGACTCAGGCGCGGTGTAGGGGGCCAGGCGGCAGCCTAAAGGCAGGCTCAGGCTCTACTCCGGCTCAGCAGCTCAGGTAGGGCTGCCCAGTGGTCGTTACTCTCTTCCCCAACCCCCGCCTCCGCCCAATCCCCTGCCGGCCCTAACGCCCCCCAGCGCCGCTCCCTCGAGACTGTTAATCTCCCCCGGCCGTGGAGGAACTTCCCGGCTTTCAGTCGGCTTCAGATCCCGGGAAGGATAAAGGGACAGGACGGGCTTCTCCGGCCACAAGTTCAGGCAAGTGTGGCTGCGCGGAAGCCCAGCTGCCGATGGTGACCCTAGGCTTGACTCTGACCCCGGGTCCGATCCGATCAGGTCCATCCCAGTCGCTCCCCCCCCCCCCCGGGTGCCACACTCACCGGCCGAGATCTCGGTGAGCGCCGCCGCGGCCAACAGCAGGCAGAGGATCGCCAGCCCCTCCATGCAGCCCCTCGTTCACAAGACTGGCCAGCCGTGGCCTAAGTTCAAGGGCGGCGGCGGCGGAGGCGGGGGGCGGGGGTATTGGGTGGAGGAGGAGGAGGCGTCCGCCTCCGGGCTTCCAGAGCCACTTCCCGACTCCAGCTCTCGGGCGCAGCCCGGGAGAAGGGGCGGGGTCAGACGGGAAGAGCCGCGCCGGGCCCGCCCTCTCGCCCCAGGTAACCTGGGAGGGCGGAGCCCTCGCTCCGCCCCGCCAGACACCTGGCCAGCCTTCTCGCCCCGCCCCCACCCCCTCCTCGGCGCAGCCCGGGCCCGCCGGGCCGCCTTTCGGAACCAACGCAATCCCAGACTCTCCGGTTCCCCTCTGGCCGGGCTGGGGCGGAGCTCGGGCTCTCGGGCCGGACGCCTAAAGCCTCTCCGCCCGTCAGGCCTCCGGGGCTCGCTCGAGGGCGCGCGCAGTGGCTTCTGGGGGCATGGCACGTGGATGAGGCCCGCACCGGGATGGTGGGGCTGGAGAGGCGACAACTCGTGAGTTGGGAGTGGAGGCCGGGGCCTGGAGCCTGAGGCCCGCCAAGCCGACCCAACGGCCCGTGGCTCCTTCCCCACCGCCCCAGAACCGGGCTGCCAACAAGCCAGGGGCCCCAGGAAAGGGCCTGGGCCTGGAGAAGGAGAGCCAAGGCCCCACTATCAGGCTGAGGTCACGAAAGGGTCGACTGTGGCCAGGATGAGGATCTTCGTTGCATTTGGAGACACTGAGGAAGAGAGCCCCGGATTTGCAGCTTTACATCCTACCTCTGCCACTTACTACGTGAGTGGCCTTGAGCAGTCTCTTTCTCCCTCTGGGCCTCAATTTCCTCATCTGTAAAAGTAGAGAGTTGGATTCAGTGACATCTAAGAAGCTGTAAATTCTGTGATTCTATGAAAACATAGCCTCTTCAATTTATTTGTTTGTTTTGTTTTTGGTGAGGCCTTCGGGGTTAAGTGACTCACCCAGGGTCACACAGCTAGTAAGTGTTATGTGTTTGAGGTCGGATTTGAACTCAGGTCCTCCTGACTCCAAGGCTGGAGCTCTATCCACTGTGCCACCTGGCTGCCCCAACAAAGCCTCTTTGTGAGAAGATCAAGTAGTTTCTTATAGCTAAATGCAAAGTATTTACATGTTGGCAATTATTTATCAGCATCAGCATTCGAATTTTTATAAAGACAGATAGCTTCAGTTGAGGGGCCAGCTGGGTGGCACAGTGGATAGCCGGCCCGAAGTCAGAAAATTGTTATTGTCCTTAAGTCATTTTTCAGGAGTGTCAAGGAAGACCCGAGTTCAAATCCAGCTTCACAACTTATTAGCTGTGTGATCCTGGGCAAGTCACTTAACCTTATTTGCCTCAGTTTCCTCAACTGTAAAATGGAAATAATGATAGAAACTACCTCCCAGGGTTGTTTCGAGGGTCAAACGAGATAATACCTGTTGTATGGTAGGTGCAGTAAGTTAGCGATTGTTGTTGTAGTCAAGGGTTCTGAATGACTAAGGATAGTTGTTAATTTGTGTAGTCTTTTACATACAGCATCCTTCTTGAGCCTCTCAACAGCCCCTTGACATAGGTACTACAGGTGGGTATCCATTTCCTATAGTAAAGTGTGATAGGTACATATCCCCACTTTGATTGGGAGGAAACTGATGCTCAGAAAGTTAGAATGGTTTGCCCAAAGGCATACAGCTAAGTGTCAAGAAGAAAGAGGCATTGAACCTAAATCTTACAGATTCCAAATCCAGGACTCCAAAGTTAGATGGTATCGTGGTGGATAGGGTACTAGACCTGGAGTCGGGAAGACCTAAGTTCAAGTCCAGGCTCAGACACTTACCAGCTGTGTGACCCTGGGTCAGTCAGTCACTTAACCTCTGTCTGCCTCAGTTTCCTGAATTGTGAAATAGGAATAAGAATAGCATTTACCTCCCAGGGATATTATGAGGATCAAATGAGATAATATTTGTAAAGTGCCTGGCACATAGTGCTATACAAATGCTAGTTATTAATAGTAAATACTTGTGTATATTTAAAAATTCTTCAGTCCAGATGGTGGCCACATTCCATCTCAAAAGTTGCTGCAATTCTCTAATTATTTAGCCATTTTAAAAAAAAAGACTATTTGTAAAAGAAACTCCCAGCACTAGTGTAGTATCTTCATCTGCATGTAAAAAGTTGTTTTTCTGAATATTGAGTAATGCCAAGCAAGTCACAAAGTGTCTGAGAAATTGGGGGGGCAGTGAGGGGGGGGTTGAGAGGTGAGTCTGGCCATGATGAATGCTGCTATGAACCATTTCCTCTCCCCATAGTGGTTTTGTCCTTGCTGCCTACAAGCAACACAGTTGTATTCAGTTCCCCTTCCTTCCCCACCTAAAGTACAAAATGGTCATAAATAAACAATGCCGCAGAATGGTTTTAGTGCAAAAACTTCAGTCTATAATCTTTTTGGATTTTGTTTATAGTCCTGTAGGTTGATTTAGATTATTGAACCTGTCCCACCTCACAGGAACTGTGTAACCTCAACCAAGAGGAATCAAAATAATTCTGGTAGCCCAGGAATCTGAGACCATGTCATCATTTGGAAAAGAAAAAGGAGGAAGATATTTATAAAGAGCATTTAATTTATGGAACAAGGAATGTCCTCTTTGAATCAAAAAACACTCTAGACACCTGGAGACTTCCCTGCTGTGGCATTCAATGTAGCTAGAAATATCGGGCTTTGGGCAGCATGGTATAGAGGGAACACCATTGGATTTGGACTCAGGTTCTCATTCTGTCATTTATCGACCTTTGTGACTTTAGACAGATCACTTAACCTCTCTGGGTCTCAGTTTCCTCATCTGTAAAATGAGAGGGTTGTTCTAGATGATATGTGAGATTCCTTCCAATTTTAAACCTATGATCCTGAAAGACATTTTCATAAGGGCACCACTTGTCATCGCTTGGTCATGATTTGTGTGGTATTTAGAGCAAGCACTGAGGAGAGAAAAGAGAAGTGGTGGGTAGGAGCTGTTTAGATCCTTGCTCAGATTCCTGTGTGATTTCTACTGCCTTTTATAACTTTGCCCACACAGACCAGAGCTGGGGCACACTGTCCCACCTCAGTGATTGACTTTTTACTTGCCCAACAACTAGTATCCTGTAAGTTTAGAGCAAGGGATTTTAACTTGGGGTCTTTGGACTTTCAAAAAATAGAAGTTTGATATCTATCTCAGTGATTGGTTCCCTTTATAATCTTACATGTTTTGTTTTATGCATTGAGAAACATGATTTTGAGAAGGGGTTCAGAGTTTTCACCAGGTTGCCAAAGAGGCCTATTGAACACAAAAAGTTTGTGAAGAAGCCCTGGTTTAGAAGGTTTGACTGAAATAAGTTTTGTATATACATGCTGTCAATTTCCAATCAGACTGTAAAGATTCCTCTCGGAAGAAGCAGAATCCCAAAGTATGGATGGCATTGGAACTTGTTTCTTTCAAATCTTACTTTTATGAATATTTTTGGGGGGTTTTGAGTCCCCATCATTTTTGAGGCATCAATTAGCTTTTACAAAAGGATATTTACTTCAAAGATATAGTAAGAATGGTAAGAGCAGACACTTTTTCCCAAAATGTTGTAGTCATCATTGAGTGTATACTCTCCATCTGTCCACTTCTGTTTCTGGGAGGAGTAGGCTCGACTTAGCTCCATTCTTGTATAGTATTGGTCCTTCCGAGTTCTCCACATGCTGGCTGAGTCTTCATCCTGGCTTCTGTTGGTATGGGTCCAGGAGATCCGTACTGGAAGGTTCTTGGGGGCTTCAGTTCTGGGTTGTCTACAAACCCAGCCTGAACTCTGACTCCCAGATTCCTGTGGCTTACTCTCTTGACCCTTTAAAATTCACATGGTGGGAACTCACAAAGTTTCTATGAGTGCCTCCAAAGCCAAAGCCAAAGAGCCTCTTGTTCACCACCTGATTAGCAGACCAGAACCAATTACAGAATGCCTACACCTGCTCCACAGTCTCTCCAAGGTTCTTCCACTCCACATTATCCCGACTGTCCTGGAAACTGGAAAGATGTCATCTAAGGCACTCTGTACATGTACCAGACCCCCATTACACAGCGTTCAATGAGAAAATCCCTTCCCTCAAGAAGTGTTTGGTCTAGTAAGGGGGAGAACACATACTTTAGGGATCCGTAATTTCCACCATTGCCACTGGTGGGAGCAACCTGGGGGAAAGGGACCTAGCAGAGCAAGTGCCGAGGGGTCCCCTTCTCCCCCAACCTACCTGCTAATGCTGTTTTCTCCTTCCTCATTCTCCCCATTCCCTCCACTCACACTGCTTTGATGAGTAGGGACTCGTCAACCACAGTCAGGAACAGCAGGCCTTATCATCTGCTGTGCCATCGTGTGCTAAGGTTATCTGCCTCTTACTATCTTCTCTGTTGCTGTCCCTTTCAGATCCTTGGGCATTACCACTTGCCTTGCCACTGCACTCTTAAGACTTCTAGGGCTTTCCATAAGTCCTACAGTTAAACCAAATTGTTTTTATTGTCTCCTCCAGTTAGAGTAGAGCTCCTTCAGAGGAGCAGTTGCCTTCATTTTCTACTTGGATCTTCAGCACTAAGCATACAGTAAGTACATAATAAATGCTTTTTCAGTCATTCCGTCCACTGACAGAGATTGTGACCTGGGATAATCTGGTACATGGTCTTTGAGAGTTGCTGTATTCAAAAAGTTCGTAACCCTCCCTTAACGAAGAGTCACTACTTAAGGTTGAGTAGGATTTCGAATTGAAGTGGATGAGAAAATGGTGATTGAGTACTGCACAGAGGTGGAAAACAGGGATGAGTAGTTTAGTTTGGCTAGAATGCATTGGTATGTGTTAGGGGAGTAGTGGGAAACGAGGCTGAATAGGTGGTTTGAAACTGTATCATGGAGGTCTTTGAATGCCAATATTAGGAGCTTGGAGTTTCCAAGAGACAGAGGTGAGACAGTGGGGCAATGTTGAAGGCTTTGGACAAGGGGATGATCTGCTCGGAATTCTTCTTTAGGAAGATCACCCAAGCAGCACATTGTAGTGAGGAGAACTGGGGATCTGACCATGCCACTGAGGCTCAAGAAGCTTC